AGTGAATGAATATCATTCTGCATGGGCCATCAACGGCCTCACCAACAGGCCACAGTATGTGAGACTTCACAACTGTACATCTGAGCTGGTTATGTGCAGTACTGGAGCTCCGCAAGGTACGGTGCTCTTACCCTTTCTCCTCACCTTCTACACCTTGGACTTCACCTACAACACCAGCAGCTGCCACTTCCAGAAGTTCTTTGATGACTCGGCCATTGCCAGCTGTGTGTCTGAGGGGACTGACCAGGAGTACATGGACTTTGTGGACTGGTGTGAGCATAACTCTGAGGGTCCTAAATAGGGCTGGGCGATATGGCAAAAATAGAATATCACGATTTTTACAATATTTTATCACGATTTCGATTTTATCACGATTTTTTACCCATGAATAGCATAACTTCAATTGCGTATTAAAGAAGAGAAACATTGAATAAATAGACATTTATTCATATTAGGGATAATCAACACAGTGCTAACACACTTATATTTTAAACTCACACCAGAGATGATAAAAGCCCTGAGAGAAACAATTACAAAGATCAGTTTTTCTCGTTTTTCAAGTAACTTAACATAAATTAAAATCGTAAACATATTTAAAGTGCAAACATGTCGATTGCAAACGTATTGTGCAAACATTAACTTGTTCAAAATACTATGTAGCTCCCAGTTGCTCATGTAGTGGATAGTTAAGCTCAAATACGGCTCTGATGTGCAGCTGGACCAGAGATCGCTTGTGGTCGCAAATAACTGCGCATTCTGAATATTTTCTGCAACAAGTCTCTAAATAAAGTAAAATTTTCCAGTGCAGATTGGAGACAACCCATAGAAGCACTGATTTGATCTCATTTCAGAGAAAAATAGAACAGGTTAGATGCACCTAATAAATAAAATTACTAACAAACTCAGGAATCTTTCTTTGCTTCATTGTTCTGGTGCTGAAAATATCACTAATGTGGATCAAAGGAGATACACAGATGAGTGCACCTCTTATTATTTGGAAACTACATTTACTGCAGCTGGCAGAGGCAGAGATTTTTTCTATTGATACACGGATTTACAGAATCATTTTAAATTTTAATAGGGGAAGACTGCAGGAGGGAGCGGTAAAATACAGGGGGTCCCCAACAAAAACAAGAAACTACGAGTCTGATGAAACCCAGCCCGCTGGTTTTCCATCAGGCAGTCACGGGGCAGCTCCAACGACCCAGTGACCGAGCTCAGTCCGGTACCGACACCGGCTTGGCAGAGGGTGGACGAGGCGGCGTCGTGCTCTGCTTAAGAAGCGGTGTTATTTTCCTGCTTCAGAAGAAGCGTCCAACGTGTTTTTACGCTTTCTCCGAGACATGTCACGTCACTAAGTTGTTAGCGCCGCGCGCTAAGGAAACCCTGCGTTCCTCTTCGGAACGAAAACCTCGTTGTTGCTCAGCCGCGGCCGAAGCCATGTTTGTTCACACACAGGTGAAAACAAGCGGGGCACTAATATATTACTATGACTCACTCTGATTGGTTAAGGGTCAAACAAAGGCGTGTCATTCGCCTGGGGTAAGTTCCCTTTTCATTCAGAGGCAGAAATTCAACAGCAGAGCTGTGAATCGTGATAAAACGGTCTCTCAAAAATGACAGACCGTCAGATGTGTAGATCGTAAAACGGTCTAAAATCGTCATATCGCCCAGCCCTAGTCCTAAATGATATCTATCTATCACTGGATCAGGGTACATCTGTGGTGCTTTTGTTGTTAGACCTGACAGCAGCCTTCGACACAGTCGACCACGCGATTCTACTCGATCGCTTGGAACGATGGGTTGGGATCAAAGGGTCTGCTCTGGATTGGTTTAGATCATATCTCCACAACAGGACATTCTGTGTTAAACTGGGTGATGTTTTTTCATCTTGGGAGGGGCTCCGCTGGGGGGTCCCGCAGGGATCGATCCTTGGTCCACTTTTGTTTGCCATTTATCTGCTTCCTATGGGGTAAATCTTTCGTAAACATGGCCTATCATTCCATCTCTATACTGACGATTGCCAGATTTACTCTCCATTGGGTCAGGAGAAAGGTCACTCTATCCAGTCCTTTGTGTCCTGTGTTAACGAGGTGAAGTCTTGGCTAATGGCCAATGTTCTACATCTGAATGAGGGAAAGACAGAGCTCATTGTTTTCCCCCCCAACAGCAGGAATGTGGGTCGTTATGTTGATCTTGGCCCTCTTTCTCCCTACTCAAAACCAGTTGTAACCAGTTTGGGGTGAAACTTGATGTTGGACTTAAATTTGATGCTCACATCAATTCTGTGATCCGGTCCAGTTTCTTTCACCTGAGACGCCTTGCAAAAATCAAGCATATGCTGTCGAGAGCCCAACTGGAGCGGGTACTGCATGCCTTTGTTATTTCTAGGCTTGACTACTGCAACTCTCTCTATGCAGGGTTGTGTCAGTCAACACTGCGTCGCCTACAGGTTGTGCAGAACAGCGCCGCCAGGTTCCTGACTGGGACCAGGAAACGGGACCACATCAGTCCGGTTCTGGCCTCCCTGCACTGGCTTCCGGTTTGCTATCGCTCACAATTCAAAATCCTCGTCTTTGTTTATCATTTCTTCCAGGGTGGTGCTGCCCCCTATCTAGCCACGCTCCTGAACAGACATTCCCCATCACGCGCTCCTAGAACGGGGGACCGGGCTTTCTCAGTCCTAGCACCGTCACTATGGAACGAGTTGCCACCCTCAGTTAGGCTGTCCCCTTCTCTGCCAGTCTTTAAGAGTCGCCTAAAAACCCACCTCCTCCGCTTGGCGTTTCCTGAACATGTTTGATTTTGGCCCTCTTTTATGTTGAATTTATTTCACAGTTTTCATTGGTTCACTCTATCCATTATTTTACAAATTTGTCCTGTACCAGAATGTTTCACCTTTTTTGTAATTTGTATTTTGTAATTTGAATTGCTTTTATTTTTGATTTATTAAATATATTTACCTTCTACTGTATCATGTTCAGCGCCTTGGGCTTCCTGACAGGGTTGCGGAAGGCGCTTTATAAATAAAGCTTTGATTGATTGATTTGATTGATAACCACCTTAGCTTGAACACCAGTAAGACAAAGGAAGTTGTGATTGACTTCCCGAGAAGCACTCCTCCTCACTCACCGGTAAACTTCCAGGGAGCAGACATTGGGGTGGTGGATACCTTTAAATACTGTACCTGGGTGTTCACCTCATCAGCAAACTGAACTGGTCCAACAACACAGATGCTCTGTATAAGGAGGGCGCCGCCTCCACCTCCTGAGGAGGCTGAGGTCCTTTGGAGTTAATTCCCAGCTGCTAAAATCCTTTTATCACTCTGTGGTTGGCTCTGTTATCCACTCTGCTGTGGTCTGTTGGGGTGCAGGTAGCTCTGACCGAAACGGGAAGAGACTGAGCAAGTTAGTCAACAAAGCTAGCTCGGTTCTGAGCTGCCCACTGGATTCAGTTGTGGAGAAGTGTGAAAGGAGGATGCTGGGGAAGATGACCACCATCTTAAAAAAACCCTCCCACCCACTGCATTCCACTGTAGAGACCATGGACAGCTCCTTCAGAGACATTCATCCCCTCTGCAGTACGAGTGTAAAACCTCAGTGGAAGCTGTACTGGCATTATCCTGTTACACAATAACACCAATGCAATATTCAGTTTGTGTTCAATAACCGTGTAATACCGGATTTATATTGCATGTCTGTGTCTCTTGCAGTAAGATGCATAGTTCTGGAACCCACACTTATTTAAATTTTTTTTTCATTTTTTATTTGTGGTCTTTAGTGGTCGAAGGTTACAATACTAAATTACCCCCTATGTGTATGTACATGTACCTTTGTTATTATTATTATTATTTTTTTTACAAATTATTCTCTTATTTGTTGGTGCTGCTGTAACAAATGAATTTTCCCACTGTGTGATCAATACAGGCTATTCTATTCTAGTCTAGTCTATTCTATTTTATAATACAATAATCCCAGATTGTTTTCAGAAGCTGTTCCAGGTCAAAGACACAGTATTCACAAAGGGGTAAAGACAGAAAGTTAGAACAAATGTAAGAAGTCAGAGCTATTCAGTAGGAGTTAAACTATGGAATAACATGAATATTGAAATAAGGGCATGTACCACAGTTAAATCTTCAAAAAATAAAAAAGTACACCCACAGGATGTATGTGATCCAGTCCATTCTGTAATGTAAAGAAAAACTTAATTAGGTGCACATGTTCATGTTCAGGGAAAAATCTGTACATATCAATATTTTTTATTTGCTAAGTATGCTGGTAGTTTTATTTTATTTATTTATTGTGTTATCTTTTCTTAGTCTAAAAATGACCAAATTAATGAATGAAATTACATTTAAAAAAGTCAGACAGACATCACGTGTTTGCTGTTAGAGGAAGGGAAACCAAGAGTGTTTCACCTTAGGGGTGTGCAGTATGCCCAAATATAGTAAATTACACTATTAAGACATTTTGCCTTTCAATTTTTTACTCTATCATCATCATCTTGATGTCACAAGATACACCTGTGACATGCCATAATTTTTCATCCATGGTGACCACAGCTTAGCGTGGGTGCAGAGAGCGATTGCTACAAAGCCTTACTGAGTTTTTCCCCTGCAGCTACTTGAGCCTGAGTGTGCTTGGCCTGCTGTTACCCGTCTGCTGCCTTCAGAGTCTCACATGTTATCAAATATACTGGAAGACAAAATTAAATCTCTGTTATATCACAGTGTAGAATATATACAGCTTATTGTTTTCACTAGTAGTAACTACAGCACAGTGTGGACACACACACACACACACACACACACACACACACACACACACACACACACACACACACACACACACACACACACACACACACACACACACACACACACACACACACACACACACACACACACACACACACACACACACACACACACACACAAGGGTTTTGTGTCTCATAGCTAACTGATGATATTAATGCAGAAACTTGTTTTTGTCCTTTGACAGGAGATCAGGGATCACGCGAGTCAGTAGAGATTCCACATGATGTTACCTGAGCATCTGAAGCAAATCAGAGTCCTTATGCTTAACAACGAGGAAAATCTGGAGAGAACTCTGTTCAGACTGGAACAAGGTAACGCTACTGTAGGCCAGTTCCTTTGATTTGAATTAATTTAATTTGCCTTCTGGCCCAGCTCTCTCTTCACCACGACAGACCCGGAGAAGGCATTCTACCCATTTCTGATTCAAGACCATGGTCTCGGATTTAGAGGTTCTGATTCTCATTGCAGCTGCTTCACACTCTGCTACGATCAGCTCCAGTGAAAGCCGAAGATCACGTTCTAATGAAGCCAACAGCACCACATCATCTGCAAAAAACGAATCCCCTCAGCACCTTGGCTGCACCTAGAAATCCTGTCCATAAAAGTTACGAATAGAATCGGTGACAAAGTGTAGCCTTGGTGGATTCCCACTCTCACTGAAAATGAGCCCAACTTACTACCGGCAATGCGGACCAAGCCCTGACACCGGTCATACAGGGACCTAACAGCATGTATCAGAGGGCCTGGTACCCCGTACTCCTGGAGTACTCCCCACAGGGCCCGCCGAGGGACGCGGTTGAACGCCTTAGCCAAATCCACAAAACACATGTAGATTGGCTGGGGCAACTCCCACGCACCCTCCAGGACCCCCTAATGGTATAGAGCTGGTCCAGTGTTCAAACAATCCAACGGACCCGCCACTCCAAAACCCCTGATTAGACCTTATCAGGTAGACTCAGGAATGTGATCCCCCTGTAGTTGGAACACACCCTGCGGCCCCCATTTTTTGAATAGGGGAACCACCACCCGGTCTGCCAGTCCAGTGGGACTGCCTCCGATGTCCACGCGAGTTTGCAGAGTCGCATCAGCCAACACAGCCCTACAGCATCCAGAGCCTTAAGGATCTCCGGGCGTAGGAACATTTTTTCTGATTGACATAATGAACTGACCTGTATTGGAATGTTTATTATGTGAAGTGCCTTGAGACGACTCTTGTCGTGATTTGGCGCTGTATAAATAAACTTGAATTGAATTTAATCTCATCCACCCCGGAGCGTTGCTACCGAGGAGCTTTTTGACCACCTTAGTGACCTCAACACCAGAGATTTGAGAGCCCAACTCAAAGTCCCTAGACTCTGCTTACACACTGGAAGACGTGTCTGTGGGATTGAGGAGGTCTTCGAAGTATCTCCTCGATGCCATGCGGAAGTCTTCGTCTCACTGAACTCCTTCCATGCCTGGGTTTTTGCCTTCGCGACTACCCAAACCACATTCCGCTTGGACTGTTGTTACCTATCAGCTGCCTCTGGAGTCCCACAGGCCAAAAGGACCTGATAGAACTCTTTCTTCAGCTTGACAGCATCCCTAACCACCGGTGTCCACCAGCGGGTTTGGGGATTGCCATCACGACAGGCACCGACGACCCTAAGGCCACAGCTCCTGTCGGCCGCCTCAACAATGGAGGCACAGAACAGGGCCCATTCGGACTTAGTGTCTCCCGCCTCCCCCGAAACGTTTTGGAAGTTCTGTCGGAGGTGAGAATTGAAGCTCCTTCTGACAGGAATCTCTGCCAGACGTTCCCAGCAGACCCTCACAATATGTTTGGGCCTGCCAGGTTTGACTGGCATCCTCATCCTCCACCCCTCTCTTCACCTGAGTGTCCAAGACATGACGAGCGCAGAAGTCCAGTAACAAAACACCGCTCAAATTCAAATCAGAGGGGGCCGTTCCGCCCCATCACACCTTTCCAGGTCTCTCTGTCGTTGCCCACATGAACGTTAAAGTCCCCCAGCAAAACAAGGGAGTCAGAAGGAGCGCTCTCCAGCACCGCCTCCAAGGTCTCTAAAAAGGGTGGGTAGTCTGAACTGCAGTTTGGTGCATAAGCACAGACAATAGTTAGAACCTGTCCCCCCCACACGTAGGCGGAGAGGCTACCCTCTCGTTCACCGGGGTAAACCCCAACGTACAGGCACCAAGAAGGGGGGCAACTAGTATGCCCACCCCTGCTCAGCGGTTCTCAGTGGGAGCAACTCCAGAGTGGTAGAAAGTCCAACCCCTCTCAAAGAAACTGGTTCCGGAGCCAGAGCCATGTGTTGAGGTGAGTCCGACTATATCTAGTCGGAACCTTTTAACCTCACACACCAACTCGGGCTCCTTCCCCATCAGAGAGGTGACATTCCGTGTGCCAAGAGCCAGCTTCTGTAGCCGAGGATCAGACCGCCAAGGTCCCCGCCTTCGACTACCACCTATCACACACTGCACCCGACCCCTTTGGCCCGTCCCATGAGTGGTGAGCCCATGGGAAGGGCGACCCACGTTTCCTCTTCGGGCTGTGTCTGCCTGGGCTCCATTGGTGATATTCCGGCCACCAGGCGCTCGTCAACGTGCCCCACCTCCAGGCCTGGCTCCAGGGGGTGGGGGGGCTGATTACCCAGGCGAGGGAACACTGTTTCCATTGATGTTTTTCTTCATAAGAGGGTTAGAATGAAACACCTTACCGTTCTTGGTCCCATGATGTTTTATATTATGTGTTATGTTATGTAATATATAATAACACCTTGAAAACGAGTTTACCTGCCTGGTATTTCACAGATTCAGAAATGATCTTGCCTTAAAACCTGAGCTGAAAGCTAAAGAAAGGCCCACCAGAGGTGTAAAGGAGTCTGTGTACTGTACCTAACTAAAGAGAAAAGTGTGCCATTTGACATTTACACCACTCTGAACCTGAGAAGGATTTGTGAGCTGGCTGTAAAACTGGACTATATATAGTAGCAATTCTGAAGGACCGACATTTTCTGGCCACTGACACCCAGCATGTGCTTGTTTCAGAGGTATGCGGGATTATCCTGCACAAATGTCATCATACTAGAAGTGAATGTAATTTAGGGGCTGAGAGAGGCCAAGGAGAAACATTTATCCTCACAGACCTGCAGGAAGCTCCTAACATGTTTATGCATGATGTGAACACATTTCATGTACTACAGAATAAAACCAAGTGGAAGTTTCCCTACAGACACATGTGCAAAGACTTTACCACTCAAAGCATCTCTCTGTCCTCAGGGTTTGAGCTGCAGTTTCGCCTGGGTCCGAGCCTTCAAGGGAGGAGGGTCATAGTTCACACCAACTACCCGCTAGAAGGACAGAAGTTCATTCGCAAAAACTTCCGCGTGCTGTCGTGGAACTACCCAACTGGAAGGGAGGATGACTCTGACAAGTATTGCTCTCTGGAGCTGAAGATAGCCGGGTCCTACCAGTACTACTTTGGATCTGCGTAAGAACCTCATGTTTGTTTTAAATGAAAATCAACCCTGGAAGGTGATGAAGGATGGTTCAGAGCATACTCAGAAGGTTTCATCACAGCTTCATTTTGTTCTGTAATTTAAAAAAATCTAATTTAAGTCTTCAAAGTTTAAATTGGGTAGGGTAGTGAGATGGAGCTGGGTCAGATACAACAAAGAGGCATCGTTTCATATTAATATTCCAGTTTTTAATCCAGCATCTGTTTTATTACAGACTCCCAACAATGTAGTCGCACGACTTAGGCAAAAAAAAGCTTATTTATTAATAAAAAATTTCTATCTTATTTTTTCATCTTAAAAGATTTTAAGTAAATGCTGGAAAAATAAAAGTTTAACTATCCCTAACTTCACAAAAATGGACACATTTAAATGAAGAGAAGCAAAAATAAACAATCAATGATGAACAGGGGTCTGCTTCTAGACCTGCTGAAAAGGGACACACAACATTACAACTAGAGCAAGCTATCGCTGCGTCAACTTGAAATATAAAATCAACATTGTTTTACTGAACAATCATAAATCACAGTGCATTTAGTGCCAACCACAGCTTTAAGACATGCGTTAAAAATGCTCAAGTCAATACGTGAGCACCTGTGTGTGTACACACGCTTGTATATGTAAGGTTTCTCTATCGGAGCATCCAATAGAGAGTGTGAGGGGCCACAGATCTGCTCCCAAATATGTGTAGGAGATGTAGGGAGCTCTTAAGTCCCAGAGATCCAGGCGCTGCCCCAGAGCGCAGGGACCCCAGGGAGACTGTAACCAGAAAAGCCCCTGCCCCCCTCGAGAGGCACAGAGGATCGCCCCGGGGAGGCCACAACCAGCAGCCGGCATAGTCCAGGGAGATATCAGCGGCAAGCCCACAGGCCCGCCCGCAGCCTCCCACCCCCCAGCCGGCCGAGCCCGGGACCCAGCGACCCGGGACCCAGGGGCGACCAGCCCCGCTGGGGACCCACATGAAACATTTTTTCAAGTCATCACCCAAGTTATTTTCTAATTTTACTCCATTAACTGCGTTACACATTTGCTTTAATGTTGTTCGTGCAAATATTCTTTTAAACTCAGACTTCTTTCAAATTTTTCCATCAGTTGAGATCAAAACAAAAAACTTTCATTGGTAGTAACATCTTGTTTGCTTTGAACATAATTAATAAAGTTTTTAAATTACCTAAATCCTTGAATTTCATAGTTTTTGATTGAATAAACAATCTATTAGTATGTTCTCTAGTATCTACTTTATATATAATTCTCATGCTTTCTTCTGTAATAAAAACAAAGGATTAATACTTGTTTTATATGTATTGCCCCACACCTCTATAATCAAATAGGGCTTATGATCGTGACGTCATCACCGACACGTCTGCCCTGTTGGAGGTGTGAGTCCTTACAGTACTTGTTGCTTGTTTCTACTGTAAACAGCGCGCTCAGTCTCGTTCTTGCAGCTTAAATTAATGTGATTACACAACTCTAGTAAACCATTGCTGTGTTGTGGGGTGACACACGTGATCGCCAAGGGAATAAAGGTGGAAAACAAGCTAACCTTTCAAAGTTTTCCTGCTTAGAGGCAAAACCACAGAGACCAAGTATCTAGCTTAACAAAATGTCGTTGGCTCGCTTGGATCGCAGCTATAAGGCGACCAAACATCACCTTCTGGACTATTTTCATTCTGGTAAATTACAGATGGAGTACGTTTTTATACATCGTTTCTTTCCTTCAACCGCGACACACGCACGCACGCACAAACACACACACACACACACAGAGGCTACACTCCCATACAGGTGCGCTAATGCGGGCGCTGACACACAACACAACTTCTCTTGCTACACTTCTTCTGTGGGATGACAATTTTGATAGTTTTACTAGAAAAACCAACAAATAAAACGTTTACCTCTCAGCCGGACGTTTACATCCACTCACACCACAAACAAGAAAGCCGAAAATGTCCGTTATGCAGAACTTTGGCAGCAACAATATGTCATCACTGCTCCGGTCTTGGGTCTTTCATATGGATAACGCTGATTTTGTCCACATACCGGTCCTCGACGTCTTTATATTCCGCATCTTTTTTGGGATTTTATATTGCTGTTAAACACTTTCACCCAAATCCGCTTCTTCTCTGCGACAGCAGCATTTGTTCCACGGTTTATTTACGCTCGTCAATCTTCCAACATGGTCGCGCACATCCCAGAATGCTATGCGTAATCACATCTGATCACAAGCCCTATATGGAACAATAAGTGAGTAATATAATATATGAAGTGTTGATGTTTCTAGAACACTTTTACCTTATTTAAAAGTCCAATGCTTTTACAAAGTTTTTGTTTTATATATTTTATGTGAGGTTTCCAATTAAGTTTATGATCCAAAACAACCCCTAAAAATGAAAAATGATCAGGACGCCTCACTTAAAACATTTGTGTGTCGTTCTGCTCATCCAGCTGCGAGGTGTTTAAAACACCCTGTCTTGTTTCCGTAGACATGTTGTTGTGTAGAGGAGTTAGGCCCGGAACACACCAGACGCAGAAGCGCGACAAAGGGCCGTGGAACAACGAGCGCTTCTGATCAACGCCCTTGTTTACCTACACTCGGTCACATCAGCTGCGATGCGCCACGAAGGCTCGCGCCACGCAGTGGTCGTTTCAGTGAGTTTTTCTAATTTGTCCGTAAGCCGTGAGGGAGCAGCGTCAATTCTGGCAGGAAGCCAAACCAGAGGAGTAGAGGAAGGCCTGTAAATTTAACAAAGTAAAAGAAAAAGTTCTAAATAAAACGCCGCGATTGATAAGTGTGATCATTTTTGTGTGTCTAAACTAGGGGTGTCAAAGATTCGGCCCGCGAGACGGTTGTGTAAACTTTATTTTCATACTTTACAATGTAGAGTGAAAATAAACGAGCAAGTTTCCTCTGTAACGAGTATAAATAAAACAAAGCTGCGCTCAAGGCTCACACAAGAACATGAATCACATCCTGAAGTTGGCCGCCACTCAGGATGTGACTTCTGATGTTGATGCTCCGGTGAAAGCTAAAAGATGTAAAGTAAAATGAGTCAAATATACTTTTAAGTGCTGCATGAAACTGATCTTGCCATGTGATCTGTAAGCTCTTTGAATCACTAAGGAATGTTTTTTTATTTATTGATTTTTAATTTTTTTTTTTTTTCAAATTTTCAAGTACACTTCAGGTTTTGTACTTGTACTACACTGTCCTCAGGCTCCAGCCTTGTTTTATATTGATTGTATTAAAACAAAGAAAACAATCTGAATTTTTTAAATTTTTTATTTACCGATCCGGCCCACCTGGGACTAGATATCCTTCAATGTGGCCCCTGAGCTAAAATGAGTTTGACACCCCTGGTCTAAACAGACTAGAGAGATGAAAATGAACAAAGCACACACACACACACTCCTGTGGAGAAAGATAGCGTTTCCATAATTTTAAATGCAGTTTTTACAGCAAAAGATGGATTTAATAAATGTGAATACAAAGCAGCAGGATCAGCGCAGTTTTCGATATCAACAATTGGGGCAAACTGGTTACACACACACACACACACACACACACACACACACACACACACACACACACACACACACACACACACACACACACACACACACACACACACACAGCTGGGGAGTGGGGAGTGGGGGGGGGGTGTTGGAAAACAGTAGTCGCGAGCAGAAGCGTTCGTTGAATATTCTCGCCTGATGTGAACAGAGGAGGAGCGGAAAGCTCAAGAGTTTCGTGAGCGATCCCCTTCGCGGCGCTTTGCAGGTGGTGTGTTCCAGGCGTTAGCTGTTAGCGAGGCTAATGGCTATGAAAGCACTTATTTGTTTAGTCATGAATGTGATCAGGAATTGTACTCACAGAGACGTGGAGAGGTTAGGAGGAGGCTACATCACCGTTGACCCTGTCCTTCGCGTTGGAGCGGATAACAGCGTCCTCCCATTGGACTGCATTACCATCCAGACATACCTGTCCAAATGTCTGGGAAAGCTGGACGACTGGCTGGACAGATTAAGAGTAGCCAAGGAGTCAGGTGGGTGTTGCTTCTGGTGTCAACTTTATTAATTTTACAATATTTCTCTAAACAAGGTAACATTTAAAGAGCAGGTCACCCCCAAATCTAGTCTTGTTTTGCTGATTAACTGTAGAAATTAGTTTAATAGCGCTGAAGACACATGTGGTGCGTCTTATTTAAAATGTAAATAGTAAGCCTAAAACTGTCAGTGTGGCGCCCTCTTCAAGTTAAAACTCTGTTCTACATTTAAATTAGAATCGACCAATGCTATTGGCTAAGTGGTACCATGTGACGTTATCTGGTACCGCATGAGTGGGCTGCATTGCTCTGCACTATGGGGGGGCCGCTCTCTTGGTCCACCAGACATCGCCTCCTTTTGGCGTATTTTACAAACAGGAATTGTGGGTGGAGTAATACTCTGGTTGGGGGGTGACTTGCTCTTTAAATAGATTTTAGTTGAGTATTTCACACCAACTAGTCTGAAGGGATTAACTCTGTTAGCATGAGTTTACTACAACAGCTACACTATAGAACCAGTGCTGCTTCAGTAGCACAATGCTCAGTTCTCTGGAGAGTTTGCAGAGGAAATCAGCAACAACCGAACTCTGATGAAGCAGCAGCAGATTAAGTAAGGAAGAAGTAGCAATGTTATCGTATGATTACCCATACAGGCGCAGTACCCGCATTACTCTTGGGTTAAGTGCACAAAACGGATATATCACAACTGGTCACTGCTCCGGGAGCGGTGAGCGTGAGCTCAGAGGAGGTGAAAGTTTCAGAATAGCAGAGGATCTGATGGTTTGTATGGTGGAAAGTATGGTGGCCCAGAAGGTTCAACCAAATACAAAGCTGTGTGCTGGAGTTTGTTACACATGAAGAGATGGACACCCTGTTTTTCTAACGGTAACAATCTGATCAATTTGTTTCAGCACAACCAGCTCAGTAAGCATCAACAGGACAGGCGCCGACTCGGCGTTTTTCTGCATTTACTCCATTTGAAAAGGAGCACTTTATGGTGTTGGACCACCTTTAGCTTTGATTACAGCACACATTCGCTGTGGCAGTGTTTCCATTGTGTCTGTGGTGGCCAATCCATGTGTGAAAAGGATGTCTCATGCTCCCTGAACCACTCTTTCACTATCTGAGCCCGATGAATCCTGGCATTATCATCTTGGACAATGTCCGTGTCATTAGGGAAGATGGAATAACTTAGTCATTAAGTATCTTCAGGTAGACAGCTGACCTCTTTCTTGGAGCACATGCTGCTGCTGAACCTAGACTTGACCAACTACAGCAACCCCAGATCATAGCACTGCCCCCACAGCCATGTTCAGTAGGCACTAGGCATGATGGGTGCATCACTTCATCTGCCTCTCTTCTCACCGTGATGCACCGTCACTCTGGAACAGGGTCCATCTGGACTCATCAGACCAGTTATAATAAAGCGTTGGACAGTTTTTAACCCAGTTTTAGTCGTTTCTGCATCTCCTTAGATGTTTTCTCTGATGGATGCCCATAATCTGACCCTTCTCACACAGACTAACATTTTTTCCACAAACACCAGACATGTCTTTTCACAGGGCTGTTTAAAGAGCAAGTCACCCTCAAATCAACTTTTTTTTTGTTGATAAACTATATAAATGAGTGTCTAATTGCTCTGTAGACACGTTCAGTCAATAATTTGGCAGTTTAGTTAATCTTAGTAAAAATTTAAATAATTTGCCTAAAACTGTCAGCAATGCACCGTCGTCAGGCAAAAACTCAGCACTGCATTTGAATTTAAATCTGCCATTGCTATTGGCTAAGAGGTACACTATGATGTTAGATGGTACATTGTGATGTCACAATGTTGTGAGTGTGTGTATTTGTTAGTGGCTCCGCCCTCTAGGTCTGCTAGGCAACAGCATTTGTTGCATTTTTCAAACAGGAAGTGGGAGTTGAGTAAGAATCTGGCAGGGGGTGACTTGCTCTTTAAGAAATGATAAGCTACTTGTTTCACCTGTCGGGGTTAAATAACTTGTTGCAGCTGCATTTATCCAATTGGAGGCTCCTACCTATGTAAACCAATGTTGGGATGTTTTTATTTGGGTGTGATTATGTTCTGTAGCTTGTTGGATGATTGTTCGTATTGTTGTTATTTACTGGCAAGTGACTGAAATAAACTAAACTCAGCTAAAGTATAAAATAATCTGAATAATCTGAATTCATCGTAGGGATTAAAATGACTGCATTTATGATGGAGGGATTTAAAGTTAACATGTCGGTCTCTGTTTCAGGATACAACATGATCCACTTCACTCCCCTGCAGACCTTGGGAGAGTCCAGGTCCTGTTACTCCTTAGCTGATCAGCTGACCTTCAGTCCCGAGTTCAGCTCCGATGGAAAAAAATACACCTGGGAAGATGTTGGCGTTCTGGTGGAGAAACTCAGGACCGAATGGAATATGCTGTCTATCACTGACGTGGTTTATAATCACACTGGTGGGTGTCTTTGATGGTTCACAGGTCAATCATCTACAGCTCAGCCTAATGGGAAACAGCACACACACACGCACGCACACACACGTGTTTTTATGGGTTTGTGTGGACTACGTTTTCTGAGTTGTTTGTGTGGACCCTGACTTCCACTATAGCCAGAATGGTGCAAAAATTATGTTTAACTCTAGGTGGGACAAAGGAAGCTTCCTCTAGGATTTTGGTTGTGTGGACCGGGTAAACGTCCACACAATGGTGAATGTCCACACAATGTTGGTCTCCCGTCGGGGGTTGGTCCACACAACCCCATAAAGACAAGTGCACACACACACACACACACACACACACACACACACACACACACACACACACACACACACACACACACACACACACACACACACACACATGTTAAGTGTCATTACTTTTCCCAACACAAGATACATATCCATCTGATTTTCTTCAGCCAATCAGAGGTCGGGACACGGAACAGGTCCCGGAGGGAAACCCCAACATCCCCTTCCTCTTGATTAAATCCGTGATCGGGTTCTTTTGGTCATGATTCACATTCCGTGACCACGGTTCCTCTGATCAGGTTTCCTCTCCGTGGTTCACTTCCTGTCCTCGGTTTGCTGGATAGGTTGTTGAGAGGTGATGTTAAACGAATAAACTGAATAAAGTTTTTCATTGCAAAGCTGCAGCTCTGGGCTGTATGCGGTGTCCTATAACAGCACTGCTTACTGTTGACCTTTTCATCTCTTCCTTCTCCTAACACCAGTAAAGGTCAACTTGTAAAATGAGACAGACAGAAAAGTTAAACACGGACTGGTTGGCTTACGGTGTCAGGCTGTGTGCACGTCTCTGCAAAGCCCTTCGAAGTCCATCACTAAAAATGCACATTTTAGGCTTTTGGGGTCATAAGTTTGCGCTTTCCACTTACTTTAGGGACATTTTGATTAAAAACATTTTAATTCATGAAGGTTGCTTTACTCAGGATAAGAGTGCATCAAACACCCCTACATCCTAACCACTTGTGTGTTTTAAGCTGCGAACAGCGTGTGGATCAGAGAACATCCAGAGTGTGGGTACAACCTGGTCAACTCCCCTCATCTCCGCCCTGCTTGGGTCTTAGACAGAGCCATCTGCCATCTGTCCACCAGGGTAGCAGGCGGGTTCTACAAAGACAAGGGACTTCCTGCTGACATCACCGACGAGAGCCATCTCAGCGTAAGTGCCGCGTGCCACGTCAGAGTAACGTGACTGATATCAGGAGCTATGAGGTAGAGGGAGATTTCTAGATTATCTGACTTCAAATTGCATTTTATGTTTATTCTTCACCAGTGTTGGGAGTAACGCCGTTTAAATAAAACGGCGTTCTTTTTTAGGTAATGGAATAATCTAATTAATTACTTTTCCCACTGTTGCAACGCCGTTACCGTTACTGGGGATGGAAGATTGTGCGTTACTATGTGCTTGTCGAGCGTTGAGCAACAGTGTGAGGCTTTCTGACCGCCGCACTTCAGCTGCAGCCAGGGAGAGAGAGGTGTCGGTAACGCGCTTACAAACACAATGATGATTGGCCGGGTGGGCGGAGACCCTCAGTGTTCTCACTGTCTCAGTCACTGCCTGCTGTAGACCCAACAGAGCAGCGATGGGAATAACGCTGTTTAAAATAACCGCGTTAATAATTTTTTCTGTAACGAGCAAACAAATTAATTACCATCTTCTTTTATCAAAACGTCGTTTCTGTTGAGCAGCGCGGTGTGTTGAAGCGGTCATCAGCTGATCAGGAGCTAAAGAGGTAGATGTTTTCATCCAAGCGCATCACGGCCCGTGAAGAACGAGGAAGACGTGATGAATAGTCTACGGCTGCAGGTGTGGATCTGCAGCTGTGCCCTTCTTAGCGTGACAGCGGGACGTCCCGAAGGTCCGCTCACCTGTTCACCGCTCAGACGTCCTGATCTTCTACCTTCCTAGATCATCCAGCTGTAACCTGTTCCTGATCATGTCTTTAGTCCCGCTGTAACACTGATGCATCAGTCTCAGACGTCATGGAGCTCAGGTGTTATTAGAACTACCTGTGTGTGTTCACCACCCAGCTTCAGCTCTTCTGTGGTTGGGTCTGACCCACGTTAGTAAATGTAAGTCCTCCATCAGGCTCGTGCCTCTTCTAGTGTAATTTTAAAGGAATTTATTTATTTAACCGTTACTAGATTAGCAGCAACAGAAATGCTGCTAAAAACACACAATTATGTGAAGCTGGAAAAATTAAAATACTGTGCAAAATTATATTCATTTATGTAATTTAACTAGACTGAGAGACCATTTAAAGGCTCGGGAATCTTTACAGGTGTTTCTATTTGCAATTTTAAATTTTATCTGATTGGGGTCTTGTTAAATATCACACAGTGACCTTTTAATAGTCTAGATAAGTGTAATGTTCCCGTTAGTAGTTCCTCCTGTTAAGTGTGTATTTGTTTAAATTATTCAGGTTTATAAAACATTTGGGCATACATTTTATTATGTTCCAGTCATTAGTCATTCATATTTCACATTTGTAGTAATTTATAGTAAATTAAGTAAGTTTAATTAAGAGGGGAACCCCTTTTTCTAGCATTCTTTAATGAAAAAAGTAACTAAGTAGTTATTTTTCTTGGTAATTAGTTACTTGTATAATCTCGTAACTCAGTTAGTAACTGAGTTACTTGTTTGACAAAGTCATCAGTAACTATAATTACTTTTTTAAAGTAACTTTCCCAACACTGTTCTTCACATCCAGGTGGATCAGACTTTAGTCGACTCTCATCCACAGTCAGCATAAGATGCATGTTTAGACCAGGGTGTTTTAAAAGTTTCTAATTGAATCTGATGATTTTTATCCATGCTTTCGTTCTTTTTTAAACACAGAAACAGTTTTGTTTACCTGTTTGTAGCTACGGTTTCGCCGACAGCTGCCGGCTTCTTCAGGCTGACGCTGATGGTGGCGCGTCACTTCCTTCTCCGTTTATCTGCGACACATCTTCTCCGGTTGGTCCAGCAGCTCCAACTGATGATTTTTCATTAGGAAAGAGCCTAACCCTCTGTAAACGGACACTGGGATCGGGCGTCTGCCTGTGAACTCTGGATAAACGTCTTCTGCATCAACGATGCTACCTTACATTAGCACAACATTCACACAGTCTTTACACGGCAACCAAGCTCTGTTTATGAAACTGTGTCCAGCTGACTGGATTTACCATCTAATCATCAAATCTCATTATTGAGTCCTGTCATAAGGATTTCTGTGTTTCAGGTATTCCAAAGCATTTTTTGGCAGGACATCTTTCCACGGATCAAACTGTGGGAGTTCTACCAGGTCAACGTGGAAAATGCTGTGGAGCAATTCCGAGTCCTTCTGCAAAACGGTGCGTAAATGTCAGATTTATTTAGCAAATAGTCAAGTATTATAGCAAAGTGCTTCCTTTTACATGTGTACACACTCCCGAGTGCATTTATAACAGGGACGCACTCCTGCACACAATCCTAGAAAAACCTCACCCAATCATTGTGAACGTCCCGTTTTCAATAAATGGATCCTGATCCATCCATGAAAACACACACACACACATGCACACACACACACACACAAACACACACACACACACACACACACACACACACACACACACACACACACACACACACACACACACATGCATGCACATGACCCTCTAAGACAGAAAAAGCCACGCCAAAATAAGTTTAGGAAGCCCACTAAGAATCGTAATAAAAGCATTTAAAATAAATACCATACACAGTTGAGGAAACGTTGGTTTAAGTACCTGATATGAAGCGGTCGCTGCATAAGCTAAAACCTTTACTCTCGGGATCCCACAGTTTCATTTTAGCCCGGTCACTATCGCGTTTTATTACAATGATCCAACGTTTGCGGCGCTCCGGATCTTGGGGAATCCTGTAGATGGCTCATTCCTTATGTCGTCCGCGTCTGTTCTGCATTCTGGGGCACAACAGGAATCTACCATATTTCCCGTTTGATTGAGTTTTCTGACAATAACAAATAGTCCAGCTGCGGGCTTCTGCCTGCCAATATGGCACCGTTTCGATTTGAACTGTTGCATGCTGGGAGAAGTGACGTCAACTCCCGTAGCTCTATACACACTCCTGAGTGCATCTAGAACAGGGACGCACTCCTGCACACAATCCTGTAAAAACCTCACCCAATCACTGTGAACGTCCCGTTTTCAATAAATGGATCCTGATCCATCCATGAAACCACACACGCACACACACACACACACACACACACACACACACACACACACACACACACACACACACACACACACACACACGCACGCACGCACACACGCACGTACATGACCCTCTGTGCATGAATCACATGCACAGAGGGTCAGAGGGTTCGCTCTGTGATGAGGCTTGGAGCAGCTGAACAGGAAGGGAAGCCTGAGCAGGTCCCTGGCTTCACATTCATAAAAATCTAAATGTTTGATAATTAAAGACATGCTGCTTGCCTGATGATGGTGGAGGACACAAGGTTTCAGATACTATGTATTCCTACCTGCCGACACATCCACATGCTCAGACCGGCTCAGACCTTATGAAGAAAAGTGACTAGGAGTAGTCCAAATGCTTTCTGATGCATCACGGCTCGTTTAACCTTGACGACCTCTAACTGTGACTTCTCTATTCTCTCTCTCTTAATCGTTACCCTAAGCTCATGACCGCAGGTAAAAGGGCTGGAATGAAGATCGACTGGTAAATCGAGAGCTTCACTTGCAGCTTTAGCTCATTCTTCACCACAGCCGGCCATTTCAGCCCTTGTCTGCCCGTCATCCTCCTGTTTTTCTCGTTAGGGTTAGGGTTAGGGTCATGGATGAGGTCACGTGGTGCTGTAGGAATATCTAACATAATGGATCATTTTTTGTGCTGTACTTTTAGACACTAAGCCAGATCCTAGTAAGACAAAAGGGAATAAGGGTCTGAAGATTCTCCAGGACCCTGAATACCGTCGCCATGGCAGCACCGTGGACATGGACTCTGCTTTGGAGACTTTTGTACCTCACAGGTGAGTTTGGAAACCACACTTCCTCAGAGGTAAAAAAAAAAAAATGTGTGAAATCTTCAGAAATCCTCTCAAACTGATGAGTTCAAACTGAATCATTTAGTTATTTAAGTTCATTTCAGGCTGTCGAGTCATGGTTTGGACTCAGGTTTTCATGCTGCCTTTGCATTTTGGTTTAAAGGTGCAGTATGTAAGAATATAGGGAGAATTGTACAGTGAAAAAAATCCCAAAAGAGTCTAATATTTCAGTCATTTTAGAATGAAGGTTATACTGAAACATGTCATTGGATTGTGAGTTTTTCTCCTTTCAAAACAAAGGAAGGAGGGACGTAACTACTGTTGACCATCAGTGAGTGTGGGGGTGCGAGCTAATTCTGCGGTGCCCAAAGCGTAATTTGACGACAGCCGGCACAAAGCTCCAGAGTTGTATAAAAGGGTTGCAGTAACCACATTTTACCACAGGATGTCATTTTTACATATTATCTACATAATGCACCTTTAAATAAACGACACATTTGTCTGGTGTTTCTCTTTAGTTGTACTGATGAGTTTTATCATTCCCCAGAAGTCTTCACGCTACAAAATCACTTGATTTATCTTGCAGCTCGTCGCCACAACACATTGAGGAGTGCTGTGGTTGGCTGAAACAAAGGTTGACTGAGCTGAATGAGGAACAATATCAGATTGTCCACCAGCATCAAGAGCAGGTAGGGTTTGCTGCTCTAGGGTGGCGTTATCTTATGGGCCATTCCCATCTGTACCGGGTCGGCCCGGGCCGGGTAGCGTAGGTTGTTTACATATCTGGGTGGCCTGGTATTTTTCCGGGCCAACCAAGGCTCATTCTCAGCCCTCTTCTCGAGGGGGTCTGCTTCAGGCCGACCAGGGCCAACACAACCACTGCTGACAGCAAATTCACACCTTCCATTAGAGCAAGCCTCTGATTGGTGGGTAGAATCAGCCCACATGGGCTTAAGACAAGGATGTGTGGAGTCAACCGGGCCAGGCTGGGGCCGACTGGGGCTACCCGGCCCGGGCCGACCCGGGTACCGATGGGAATGGCCCATTAAACTCATGTCTCTACTTGTTCGTTATGGCGGACAGGTCTGTCCAAGTCTTCAGCTTCAGGACCTGTTCTCATACATTAACTAAAGTGGTTTTTATAGCATGTGCCATTTAGCGTAGGTCTATGGTAGAGCTTGCTGCAGCCAAAAGTAACAGGAAATTCGTCACAAGATGACTCGGTAGTGTTAAAAGTGTAAATAACGTTTTTAAACTACACTCAAATGCTGATTATACACAGCACTTATAGTCTGTATTGTGTATAGATGGTTTGGTTTGATTTCCATGTTTATTTTTAGTATATTTTGTGATTCCTGTGTGCTTCTTCTTCTCCTTCTTCCTGTGAGACTGGTGGGGCAGCGCCCCCTGTGGGGATCTCCTGTCTGTCCTGGTCAAAGACAACACCAAGGCTCATTACTTTGTTCTCTGGGGCTAATTTAAAGCTGCTCAGATCAGGTGATTGTCAGGTGATTGGCTAGGCTAAGTTCTGGTTCAACGATGATAACTTCCACACCCAGCGCCATTCCAAGGCATTTGGGGGCCAAGATGAAACGACCTGGACTTTTACTTTAAAGTCCCATAGTCATCATCCCACACTGGTGAAATTCATCTCCGTAGTTGGCCCATCCCCGTGGGGAGTGCTCGGGAGCTATTTGGTGGTTTAACCCCCAAATCCAACCCCTTAAACCTGAGGGGTCAAGCAGGGAAGCACTGGGTCCCATTTGAACCCCGATCTCCCACTCCCAGGGTGGACACTCTACCACTAGGCCAGCAGTGAGAGCTGCTGTTTGTTTGAGACTTTGGAAATCACTTCTTTGTTTTGTCTTCTCCATATTTAGGCAGTCAACTGTGTTCTGGGAAACATAGTTTACGAGCGTCTGGCTGACCACGGTCCCAAACTGGGTCCCATCACCAGGAAACACCCTCTTGTTACCAGGTAATTTACTGTAGAGTAACTGGTAAACTGACTTTTCAGATATAAATTTAAACTGTTTTTTTTCTCAGTAAAAAAAAAAACGAACCCAAAATTTTTCTTCATCGTCTCATAAAAGTAGTTTTCTGTAGGGCTGCAACAAACGATTATTTGGATAATCGATTAATCGGATGGGGTCTCGACACGATTAATCGATTAATCGGATCCCATGGGGAAATTTTTAAAAACTGCTAGGGAAATGTTATTTCTCTCCTTCCTTCACTTTATTTAACACAACATTATTAGAAAACAGTTCAATAGCAGAAAAACAACATGCCATCACCTAAATTGTCTTATAAGGTGTATAGACAGAGACCCTAAGCTACATCTATCTGTGACCTAAAATGCTTGGTCCAAGTTAAACAGCTTAAGGGCAATTTTCATCTGTTTTGTTTGATCTCATCTGTTGACATTTATTTTAAATGTAATTAAACATAGGCTGTGAATTAATCAAAATTGATCACTATTTCCAAAAATGACTGAAAAAATACCAAATAAAACAAAAGTAAATGAATGCCATCCTCCTTGCGATGATGCCCTGGGCAACTGCCATAAAGTCACATCAAGAAATGCTGCTGATCATTCCAATGATCCCAAATAGACTCACATTAGGCCACATGAAAGCAACTGAACCCAAAAATATATTAACCAGTATATAACTGCACTCTCACACAACACGCCTGCAGCAACAGTTAGGACTCCTCCCTCCCTTTGAAAAGCGTTTTTGCTTCTGAGGACATTGTGGCTGTAAAGCCACATGCTAGTAGTCTGGCCCTGGTGTGATCAACCAGTTTCTGCGGGAATGTGACGGCGGAACCAGGGCCAGATTAACACTTTGTTGTACCCTGGGCAACAATATTCAAGGGCTCCATCATCACGACCCAAGGATCACCATAATGTGGTCACATACAGAATATTTTACTGTAATATGCAGTAAATATACTCAATACTTTAATGCCTGACAACACGTAACCCGCCCAGAGTAACCTTTGACCCACCTCGTGTGGACTGACCAATGAGGAGGGGGTCTTAACTTGAGGCCCTCTCTTCATTGGTCAGTCTGCATGAGACTGACTCTCAACTGACGTTCAGTCGTAGGCAGCGAAGCGTCTCTGTGCAGTGCAAAAGCCCGGTTGGACAGTTTGTTTAATGTAGGGTGACCATATTTCCATTTCCAAACAAGAGGACAGGGGATCTGTGCCTATGACATCACACTATGGCAACGCCACACAAACCATGTTGGGACCCATTTTTTGTAAGAACTAAATTAATATCAGATTCTGCCAATAAAAGGGCTCTAAAACAACTCATATGTAAATATTTTGCATATTTAATGCAAAATCTAATTTTTCTGCTTTAGTGCTGCAACAAGGTTTTATTAATAATACATTATTATACCTTTTGTTTTACTACAGCATCGGTAAGCTTCCTGTGCACAGATTATTAAGGATGCTTGTTTCAGCTGTGAGATTAGACGATAGGATCAATGAAAAAATAAGTTGTCACACACTCCATGGAAACTTTCAGAGAATCCACAAATAGTGGCTTTCAAATGGTTTTGTTACTTTTTGCAAGTTTAGAAAAGCAGCAGATGAGACAGCATATCTGATAATTTAGTTTTTCATCTGATAATATTAGAACATGTCAGTAATGTCTAAGGGGCTTTTATAAACACCGTATAACTAACACTACTGGAGAGGGCATGAATTACACAGAGGCTTCTGGGGAGCCCAGTTATTGGGGGGGTGGGGGGGGGGTGGGCATTTTGCCTTGGCCCCCAAAATGTCTTGAAACGGCCCTGGGTGTGTGACTGAGTTTTGAAGGTGATCTGAATTGTATCAGATGTATAAATATGACATGTGTAGAACTTATTGTTTTTTACTGGTAAAAACGTGTAGTGGTGATAACTCTACCTACATTTTACTTTTCAACACTTTGTTTTGTTTTCTTGTTTTTTTTTAACTATTTTCCTGTCCTGTCTGTCTCTCATCTTCCTGCATCTCCTCTTAATTCTCCAGAAAATCTGTTGCCTGGATTCTTACCTTTTCACCTCATCAGTTACTTTTGAGCAGATCAAAGGGATCTCCTGACCGAAAAGCGCAGAGCGCGTTTTCGATGCTGCGTCAGTGAGGTGACATCACCACAGCACAGGTGATGAGCTCCGCAGTAGCGAGCTTCAGGCACAAATAAGACAGAAAATAGAGAACATGTGTGGACATGAACGATCGTATGCTAATTATAGTTTTTTGGTTGCGCCACTTTGAGAATGGACCGTGCGCTGGAAGCAGCTGCCTGGATCGCTGTGCAACAATGTGGAACCGGTTCGCAGCAGCGCAAGTCTGCCGGCTCTCCCTCGAGCTGATCTGCGGCTCTCCCTCGCGCTGATCTGCCGGTACCGGCTCTCCCTCACGCTGATCTGCGGCTCTCCCTCGCGCTGATCTGCCGGTACCGGCTCTCCCTTGCCCTGATCTGCCGGCTCCCCCTCGCGCTGATCTGCGGCTCTCCCTCGCGCTGATCTGCCGGCTCTCCCTCGCGCTGATCTGCGGCTCTCCCTCGCGCTGATCAGACTTGCTCTGGTCTGCGCGCAACGGCGGGCGGGAAGGCGGGGCGCTTTTGGAAGAGTTGTGTGACACAACGAATCGATGACGCAATTCGTTGCCAACGCTTTTAGTAATCGATTTTCATCGAATTTATCGATTCGTTGTTGCAGCCCTAGTTTTCTGTAAACTGTACATTAGAATCCTGAAATTTATATTTACATAAAGAGATGGATTAGACGTGGTAGTATTTCTGTTGCAGGTATTTTACCTTCCCATATGAGGACACGCCTCTAGAACAAGAGTTGGAGCTGCTGGACCAACCGGAGAAGATGTGTCACTTCTTGGCTCACAACGGTTGGGTGATGGGTGACGATCCGCTGCGCAACTTTGCAGAACCAGGTAGAACAAAATCTACTGCGACAAGATTCACAAAGATGAAGTTACGGCTTTTATGTGAGGCACATTTTCAGGCCTGACTGTAAAAGGATCATTCTGACGGTACCCTCAGAGCTGTTTAAGGCGGTATAGGGTGGTATACAGTAGGTTTGCTTTATCAGACAAGATTTATTTGTTTCTAGGCTCAAATGTGTACCTACGTCGAGAGCTGATCTGCTGGGGGGACAGTGTCAAACTACGCTATGGGAATGGACCTGAGGACTGCCCATACCTGTGGGACCACATGCAGAAATACACTGAAATTACAGCCAAATATTTCCATGGAGTCAGACTGGACAACTGTCATTCTACACCGTTACATGTTGCTGAGGTATTATAATACTCTTGGTGAAAAAGAGACCCTTAAATCCTAATAATATAATATAATATAATATAATATAATATAATATAATATAATATAATATAATATGATATAATATAATATTTGACTGAGACACTGGTAGCTCTTCCTTTCATTTATCATTCTTGTGTATTTTGATGTTTAGTTTTCGATTTCAGACATAAGAAAACGATCTCAGACCAGTTTAATCTGGGTGAAACCATGGTAACCACAGCCTGTTCTTCTCTCCCTGTGTGTGATGTGGGTGTATTGTCTCATCCAGGCCATGTTAAGCTCGGCCAGAGAGGTCAGACCCAATCTGTATGTGATAGCTGAACTCTTTACAGGAAGTGAGCTCATTGACAATGTGTTTGTTAACCGGCTGGGAATAAGCAGCCTTGTGCGAGGTACACACACGTCTGGACTAACCCTTTTTTTTATCCTTTGTCTTTTCATGGCATCTTTCTGCATTCTGCTCTTTAACCGCTCTACTTTGGCTCATCCCCTCATCTTTAACTCTTCATATCCCATGTCTGTCCCCCCCAATCGTGTGTTTTTCCTGAATCCCCACACATTTCTCTGGATGTTTTGCTTTGCTGTGGCTGACCAGTTCATGTTGGATGTGGCCAGAAGAACGTGTCCTAACCTGTATGTGATTGCTGAACTGTTCACTGGCAGTGAGGCGCTGGACAACGTCTTTGTCACCAGGCTAGGGATAACGTCACTCATACGAGGTAGGGTACTCGGTTCCCTTCACACACCTATCTATAGGTGCTGGTTAAGCTGCTTGATAAGTTCTGTTCAGGACTTTGTTGTTGTTGTAGTAGAAAGTAAAAAAATACCAAATGATTTAAGGCAACTGGCTGAAGACGAGTCCACAGCTAGCGATGGGTACCGAAATCGGTACTTTTTAAGGTACCGACCGAATTCCATAGTACCGACTGGTCATTTGAAACGGTGCCTCGTTTTGGTACCCGTCCTTCATAACGAGAACTTGCCAAGACAGCTGCGCATGCGCAAGAGCGTTATGTCGTTGGTCGCTGCGAGCGTGTTGTAAACAGCTAGCCTAGTGAACTAGACCAAATTCTTGCTTTGCAAAGTTTGGTCTAGGCATGTTCCATTGGAACCTCAGCAGCTCCTACCAGGACTCTGGCTAGCCAATCATAGCTCTCTAGAGGGGTTTCAAACACATAAAGAGCTGTGATTGGTCCATAATGGTGGGCCAATCATAGTGCTCTTTCTGCTTAGTGAACAAATCATAGAGCTTTATCCGCTTTGTGGGCCAATCAGGGCACTCTATATGCCTGGTGGGTGGGATGATGCAACAGAGTGAAACAAAAGTATGTCACATTCATTGTCCAGTGGAATGTGGAGATCATTTGAAAGACAACGGTAGAACCCGCCCCACAACCGAGAGCCGTCAATGGTGCGTGGCCAGACTAACTAATACATTTATTTAGTCTGGCTTGCCAGGCTAGTAAACAGCAGCATGGTAGAAAGAACGCACGCTAAAGTTTGGCTTCACTTTACTAAATGTGACGGGTGATTGGGTGAAGATGAAACCAGCGACAACGATCTAAGTGTGAGGCATCATCGTTTTAATCTGCTCCAGCAGCTAAATAAACTGTTTAAGATAACATTAGCTTGATAAATTAGCTTCCATTGCCACCGTTGTTATCAGCTAATGGTGCGTTCGCTTTCTCCTCGGAAATTCTAACTTCCCAGTAGGAAAAATCAAATGGAAAAGGACGGCAAAAGGAATGAAGATACACAGTAAATTTAGTTCACAGTAAAGATGTTTGCTTCAGTTTAATTATCAGCTTATAAAACTACAAGGACGATGTTAAAATACAAACAGTTGTATGTTATTTATCGTGATATTTATCAAATATGGTTATATATTGAGAAAAAAATATATATAATTATAAAAGAGAATTAAAATAATAAACACTCAAATGAATCTAAAATTGGTACCGTTAAGTACCGGTATCGATTCCTAGGTACCGGGAATTAGTACCGAATCGATTCAAATGTCAAAGGTACCCATCCCTATCACAGCTGGGCTACTTCATAAAATAAAATGGACCTAACGTCTTCATTTACCTTTAAACAAAGAAAAAGTCTGAGATGTCGTCAAAAACATTTATTTGTAAACTGAAAATGAATCCAAAGATCCAAACTATTGTTTTCACTTTTAAAAAAGTTCATGCTCACCTAAAGTTTATAATAAAAAGATGCATTTTGGATCAGATATAACAATTTTGGGCACATGACGTCTTCATTTCTGATCCGTGTATGAAAGGGCAAGACTGAACTCGAGTTTCAAAAGTGAGACCGACCATGAACCTGCCGACATTTTTCCTCCAACTTTTGAATAACTGTAAAAAACATTTTAAACTACAAAATAAGAGTTTTTGGTTCTCGACTTTTTACCAACATTTATCATCCTTTACACCACAGACATGAACCTGAGCTGTCAGTGAAACACAGGCTAAATAAACCTTAAATCTGAACTCACCGGCCTCTTTATTAGGTACACCTGTTCAACAGCCAGTCAGAAGAAAGCATTTATTCATCTAAGACCTGCTTAAGTTCAAACTGCATCAGAATGCAGAAGAAGTGAGATTTTAAATATGACATGGTTGTTGGTAGCAGATAGACTGGTTGACAGGGATTTGAACCCACAACCATCCCTAGGATCTATAGAGACTGATCATATCGCGTCATACCCGTGTCACAACCCGTGCACGCGCATTGGGTCCACAGCGCGCGTGTGAACGGGACTCGCGCGCGTGTGAACGGGACTCGCGAGCGAAAATATACATGGCGAGAGGTCATTTGTGCACAGAGAGGGAGCAAACTGTGTCTGTGAGCGCACAAGGATGTGCACAAGTGACAAACCTGCGTGCGCGCGTTGTCAACGAGCACACGGCAGAGGAAAACGTGCGCGCGCGGCAGCCTCTGTGCGCGCTCGGCAGCCTCTCTGCGCGCTCGGTTTCTGACTCCTGCTCGCTCGGCTGTAAGGGCTTTTGGCACTCTGGAGGCGTGGCCTGTGGCAGATCTTGTCTGTCCTCTGATTGGTTAGTTCACCCCGCACTTTACCCTCTATCTATATAAAAAAAGTCTGATGTTCAGTAGTTGCTGGCATAGCTCAGCTGGGAGAGCGGGTGAGTCTCGCCCCGGAGGATCCAGGTTCGAGTCCGGGCAAGGAAAATGTAGTAGGTGTCATGTTAACTTTTCTTAATTTCAGGTATTTTACAGTTGTGACCGTTCAACTGTCATTAAACGTCCGAATGTTTGCTGGGCAGTGTTTTAAAAAGTGCACATAAGCTAG